GCAAGTGAGTCTGTGTTTATTTTGTGGTGCTCCCATACAGTGGCATGTGAGTGGTAAAGTGTGTGTGTGTGTGTGTTTGAGTTCAGCGTGAATGATGTCCAACACAAAAGAGCTAAATGTTTGCATAAGCAAACACGTGTGTGTGTGAGCAAGAAAGAAAGTATTCCCTATCCACATATGTATCGCCTTGGGCCTCTCTCCCACTCGCCCTCCCAAAATGGTGGAAGGCGGGAGGGAGGGGGTCCCTTTGAGTTGTCCACCCACACACTGTGCCCTCTGGTCACCTCTCTCCTGCATGGGCTGTGGGGCAACGTAAGCTGCAAAGGCGTTGTCTTAAACTTTCAGTGGAAGCTTGTGTTCCTCTCCAATTAAATAAGTACTGTGTCATTAAGCGTGAATTACCAGCAAAGATTTAGATATTAGCTTACAATGATTCTTATTCTAGAATGTCACACACATACAGTGGAGCATCCTCTTGACTGACATAATTAATGGCTGTTGAATAGTAGCTAGCCCTAAGCCTTTCTCCTTGATACATATTATCCATCAACAGACTGACACAAACTACCAAGACAGATGGGAATCACAGTACATTCCCTCTGGAAGTAAGGACACACACAAACACGCACCCAAGACACACACACTTTGGAAGTATTAGTGGTTGGTTATACACAACCATTTGAGTTGTGTTGGAGACCTCAGGGTGTGCGAGAGAGGGAGATGTTGAGAGGTGTATTTTCAGTTTTCATGTGGTTTGGTCAAACATACACACACATACAAACACGCACACGCACACACATACACGTGGGGTGAGAGGCAGGATGGAGCCTGTGGGGTCACCAGGTGACCTGAGGGTGTGCCATCACAGACTGTGCTGACAGACAGACACAACCAAGACCACCACGGAATCTACCACCATCCCCAACTCTCTCTCTTTTTCCTATCTTTCTTTCTCAGTCACTCACTGCCTCTCTCTCTATTTTTCTCACTCACTCTACCCGTCTCTCTCTTTCCCTTGGGACTGCAGTGATCTGTTCATTCTGTCTTAGTGTACCAGTTGGAGAGAGGGAGAAAGTGTTCCCATGTTCCTGAGGAGCAAGCCGACAACAAGACGCCAGCACAACAGATGGATGGATGGAGAGAACAAACGTGTTCTGCATCATATCTCTTCACTTTACATAACCACACACACTGACTCACACACTCACAGATACCCACACATAGATTAACACTTAAAAAGTTATCTTTCTACCACACACTAATAAGAAAAGACAGCAATAGAAAGAGAGGGAGGGGGGAGAGAGGGCGAATAAAAGAGGGGAGAGGTTCCTGTCTGTGGTCTTTTAGCATCAAAGTGAGCAAACATATAAAAGGACACACTCCTCCTGGGTTTATTGACGACACCTGCTGCTCTCTTCTTCCTCTGTTGGCATGGTAAACCTTTTTACACACACACACAAACGCTTAACAGACAAATGCCAGCAGATACATTATGACAGAAGATTGCAAGGTGATTTTGACCTCTTTAGTTCTTTCATCAGAGCATATGAAGGAAAAGAGGAGAGGACCACCATACGAAACTTGATGCACCTGGAGTCTTATTCAGCCAACTCTCCCCCAGCACTCCCTCAGAGCAGCCGGAAGCTCAGTGGAATCACGTCAGCTGTGTGTATATGTATGTGTGTGTGTGTGTGTCTGTGCTCCCTCAGAGTGGTGTGACAGATGCTAGCGAGCGCTAGGTCTCGCCACTACGCCTCAGGCATGTTAATGATGCTCCGTTAACTGTGGGGTCTGGTCACACACATGAACATACACACACAACTGCAAATATCTACTACCCTCTTTCTATGTTTGAGCCCCAATATAATAGCACAAATTGTGTAGTCAATTAACCCATACTCTTGTTCATGGAGTGTGCGTGACATAGAAGGAGGTTTTTTGAAAGCCCCATACAGAAGCTCCACTAGCAACACTTCTATCCTCTTCTTCTCTTCCTTTGTTCTTCTGTCTTAACCACCCACATATATTTTATATCCCTGGAGCCTTTTCTTTACCAGACCTGCAGCTCATACATACATAGAGAGTGAGAGCGAGAGAGAGAGAGAGAGAGAGAGAGAGAGAGAGAGAGAGAGAGAGAGAGAGAGAGACCAGATTGCTGTTGACCAGGATGTTGCGGGCAGCCAGGTCTCGGTGAACGTAGCTCATATCAAACAGGTACTTCATACACAACACGATGCCATGCAGCACGCCCACCAAGTGGATCACTGTGAACTGACCGTCGTGTTTCTAACAGAGAGAGAGAGAGAGAGAGAGAGAGAGAGAGAGAGGGCGCGAGAGGGAGACATGCTATTTGAAAATATCTCCTTGCCCGAGCTCCTTACACACACACAACACGTCCAATATCTCTCCATACACATGCGTCCCCCTATCCTTCTCAGCAATGTGTCTACAAAGCAGTTAGACTTTGATTATATTTGTCACAATATTAAAGGGCCCTTCGGTGAACTTCTCTCCACTATTTCTTTTACCACTACTTCTATTAGGAGTACCTGATGGTGTGTGTGTCTGTGGGAGGCATGAGGAGTTAGTTGGTGATTTGAGGAGGGGGTTTGGAGAGGGCCAAGATTACTTCACTGTGGCTTCAGGAGCTCTTCTGGGGGTTAGTGGGTTTGGTGGGTTTAGGCTTTGTAGTAATTAAAGGAAGCTAGAGTATCCCTGGGGGGTGAAGGATGCTCACACACACACAAACACATACACACTCTCTCTCTCACACACACACACACAATATAGATGTGTGGGCAGTAGGAGCCATCTGGGGCCCTATGGGAACAAAACATGTGTGTGGGGGCCGAAGGCTCGAGGCCGCAGTGGGAGTTCACTCTTCAGACCTGGGAATCCCACAGGAGAATGGGAACACCATCACGACGGTCATCAATCAAAACTACACTGACACAAACGAGCCTAAACAACAGCCTGCGACTCCATAATGTCACTGTGTCACCTCCGCCCCGTGGCGAGGGTCCGCCCACTGGCGCCCGCGTTCGATAGGCCCCTGCCCTCCAAAGCTCGATGTGATTGGACACCGGCTCCAGAGCGAAGCTGCCGCCCGCTCTCGGCTAATTGGGTCTTTGTGATTGCGCAGTCTGTCGTGGGTTTGGAGGGAAATAAGGTGGTGAAAACGACATTATGGTCGGCGGCGGTGAGTGACAGGTCGATGTGAGGCGATGGGTTTCGGTCTCAAAGCGACAGATGCTCTTCCTGGGTCCATTATGGTGCATTATGGGGGACGGGATAGTTTCGCCTGAGCAACCGAAATGACACAAAGACGTTCAGAACAGGACCCTGGAGACACACACACAGCACCCTGTACTAAGGGCCCCGCCCGGACCTGAGAATGGCCCCATACACTGGGATGGAGAGTGTATGGCGAACACACATACAATTCACATACAGGTCTCACACACGATACATTCTCCCTCTGTCTCTAAATTGAGGTCAATACTTACACATCAAACACACATAAAAGTCACACATTCTCACACTCTCTATCGAGCTGAACAAGTTTCAATATGATAAAATACCTCTAATCTCAAGCTCTCTAGGTAAAGCTCTAAACAAAACACATCAAACATGTGTGACCCTATTGAAAGCAATATTAGACGTAGATAGTATGGAATTAAAGATAGTAGACTTCAAAGTTGGGTGGGATAAACAGCTAGAACAGACTGTAGTAAAGGACCTGTGTCTTTCCCCTTAAGAGATATCCACTGAGTCTCTTTGTGCAGCTGCTCCATTGAGAGAAGGTGTGGGTGGACGCAAACCCCTCTCTTTGTTCTTCCTCTACGCTTTTAGAGCCTGCACAGGATGGAGTCTGACTTTTTTAGAACAGAATGTGTATAGTGGCTGTGGCGTGCTTGCCTCAGTGGACTACCTGTATACGGTCAATGTAAGCATTGTATGACCTTTGCAAAGAGGTCTGGATCGTTATGGCACAGTAGTGCGTTTGTCCCATAACAGCAAAGTTGCTGGTTCAAGAGCCCACTCTGGCTTTTTATGTTGACAGTGTCACAGTTCTTATTAGTTAGTTGTCATAGCCTTAGGCTATTGAGATTCATCACCATCACCAATGGAAGTGCGTCAGGTAGAGCTAGATATGAGCTAACGACAGGGGGCGCTATCTCCCTCATGTTTTTCCTCCACCCTTTTCAGTGAGGCATTGTATTCAGCAAGCAACAAGCAACCTACTGACTGGGAAGAATGTCAGTTCAACGTCTAGTTTTGATTTACATTTCAACTAACATGAATTCAACGTGAAATCAACAAAAAAAGGTCACCATGTCATTGAATTTAGTTTAAAAGTTGAATGATTACTTTTAGCAAATCGAAACAGTTTTACACCGTTGATTAAACGTCATCACATATATTTTGGGGGTTGAAATAATGTGGAAACAATGTTGATTGAACCATTTTTTTCCCAGTGGGAAGAGGTCTTCATATTTGATGTGTTCCCAGTTCCTTAACGACAATAACTAGCCAACAGCACAATATTTCATCTATCACTTTTGTTTGAACCAATAAGCACTTAAATAACCTAAATTAGTCCTATTCAATCCCAAACAAAAAAGGTTATTATTTGTCACATAATTCATAATTTCCCTTAAAAGCTCGACTGTTGATTTATCGAACCGATCACGTTATATTGGCTCATCATGATGAATCAATGACGCAGGCTTAGTGTGACGTTGTCACACTACTGTAAATGACTTAATTGCCAGGAACACAGGTAACACAGTAAAAACATGCAGACATTACAACATAATCTACACATATGACAAACAACAACTCACACGTTTACAAACACTTACACCCTATGCCAGCGAGATACCACTGACCAGAGAAGAGAAGATACCTACAACTGCGTCAGAAAGAGCGCGAGAGACTGCCTTTTGCTCACAGCGTTCGGAGTATCATTCCCACACACACACGGTTTTCCAACAGGGATGCGCGGAGCTAAACCGAGACACTTCAATACAGCACAAATGGCTGCGAGTTTTTGCAGAACAACTTGTGCGTTTATATGGATGTTTACAGTTATTTCAGCCGCTCGAGTATATCCACCTAACGAAGGTAAGGAAATACGTGGTTTGGAATTGTTTTGCCTTAACTTAAGGGAGGGTACGGTTCTCCGAAATATTTTGTTAGGCTACTTAACGTGCCTTCTTAATTGAGGGTCAGTTTTTCCCTTCAAATTCGACCACTATTGGAAACTGATATTTCTTATTTCGCGAATACATAATTGGAGTTCCTAACCGCTGCCAGGAAAGCACAGTTTTTCCTCTTTTATTTGACTTTTATCCAACAATTTAATCACAAGCCTAGAATGATGAATGATCATCGCAATCACTGCAATCAAAAAAATTTATGCGGTTGCCCCCCATACTATCTTTCTTTATCAGGTTCAGTCTTTTACAGTTTCGTTTTAGCTGAATTTCAATTTCATGCAGGCAGTAGCCTACTCAGCCTACAGCAATTTGAACAGGGGCACAAATTAAACCTCAATATTCTGACAAATTTCAAATTTCTGACAGTGCCGTTTTAAGCAGCGTTCTGTGATTTACGGCCTTTGCGCTACGGGTTTTATCCCAAATCCCAACCCAGTGTCATGAGCGAGCTATATGTACAACGTGTAGCCCAAAATCTATACATTCGTTCCAGTATATTTGAGATAGTCTGTCTGTTTGTGATATTTTATCGATCTTATAATTATCTTGCCATATCTGCATCTGAATGAATACAGTATGTATGGACTCTTGTTGAGCCCAAGAGTAGTTGAAGATTGAATCATTTCCATGTATTGCCAATGGAAATTGGAAATCACCTTCCTTGCCTGTGTGTAACTGTATGTTTCAGAGACATTACTGGACACAAGGACAGTTCCTGGCGAGCTGAAATGGGCGGCCAGTCCAACAGAAGGAGGGGTGAGTGGTCCTGCTTCAGTGAGAATGTGTGTTTGCAATGCATGGGTGTACACAGGTATACTATGGGTGAGTATTTTTAAAAAATACTGTATAGTCCAAGCTAGACTGCATTCTACTGCAGTCTCCATCTCCCTCTTTCTTGAATGCTCACTCTCTCTCACTCTCACTTTCACTCTCTCCAACCTCTTTGTTAGTTTAAGAGTTATTGGTGACCTTGACTCCTCCAGTCTCCCTGCGCTCACTTCTTTTACTGAACTGCTTGATTGACAAGGTCCTGGTCCCCACGCACTGAGCCTTTTGATTGCCAGCATACCCCCCCCCCCCCCCCCCCTACCCATTACACACACACACACACACACACACACACACACACACACACACCCCTCTCCACATCACAGTCGGGGCCAGTGTACAGCTTAATGACTGTGACAGCTGTGATTTCTGTCCTGCAACAAAGACTCCAAAGGAGGGAATAAAACTTGGAGTCATACTCTATGACAGCTCCTATAGAACATCTCCCCTCCTCTACACACACACACACTCTCTGGCTCGTTATGTCTAAAGCTCTCACCAGCAGGGAGTGGGAACCACATTATTATTCCATGGTAATGAGATGCCATAGTTAGGCAAGGTCACCGTACAACTCCATAAAACGTCCTTGATAAACTATCCAAGATAAACGCATGGAATGTTTTGTAGTCACTGAAGCTGATTATTGACTAGAAATGACTTTGGTCTAATGATCAGAATGTGTGTGTTCCCAGTGGGAGGAGGTGAGCATCATGGATGAGAAGAACGTCCCCATCAGAACGTACCAGGTGTGTAACGTGATGGAACCCAGCCAGAGCAACTGGCTTAGAACCGACTGGATCCCTCGGTCTGGAGCGCAACGCATCTACGTCGAGATCAAGTTCACTCTCCGGGACTGTAACAGCCTGCCTGGAGTCACCGGCACCTGTAAGGAGACCTTCAACCTCTACTACTATGAGTCTAACAACGACAGAGAGCACTACATCAGAGAGAGCAACTTTCTCAAGATCGACACCGTGGCAGCCGATGAGAGCTTCACTCAGGTTAGGACTCTTGGTTTGTTTTTACTCTCTTTGTTAAATTTTAAGATCTGACGGTGTGTTGATGATGTTTTTTCAATGTGAAAATTACAATGAGGTAACATTGTTGTGTTCTTATCGCTATTTATTATCAGTAATTATGTTATTATTATGATGATTAGGTGGACATTGGGGACCGCATCATGAAGCTGAACACGGAGGTGCGTGATGTAAAGGTCACAACCCGGAAGGGTTTCTACCTGGCGTTCCAGGATGTTGGCGCCTGCATCGCTCTGGTTTCTGTACGTGTCTTCTACAAAACCTGCCCCCTCACTGTCCGCAACTTAGCAACCTTCCCAGATACCAACACCGGGGCTGACACTTCCTCATTAGTGGAGGTCAGAGGGTCGTGCGTGAACCAATCAGAGGAGAGGGAGGAGCCCAAGATGTATTGTGGCGCAGATGGGGAATGGCTGGTTCCCATTGGTGGGTGTGCCTGTAACCCGGGATACGAGGAGAAAGGCGGCGCCTGTCAGGGTAAGGCATTTGATTTACTTTTAATTTAATGACCACATTTTCTTCGAAATTGTATCGAACCCCGGGCACATGAACTTAGTCGACTGAGCTAAAGTTAAGTCCTCAGCTCTTGGACCTCTGGAAGATCGAGGGAGGGAAATAGGAGAGACTGGAGAGAACAGACGTTCTGACGACAGTTTTATAGCACGCCATTACTCTCTCTGAATAGAGTCTCTATTCAACACACACACACCAGTTGAGCGTCAGTGCTTCAGTAGGGAATGATATACAGCTGTGGGTCTATTCTCACAATCGTATTTATGATGGCCATTCCAGCAGGCTAATTACATAACAAACGGCTAAAACTTTTAAAGGCCTGCGGACAGAACAGAGGGTGTGTGTGTGATAGTAGTGAAAAGGCTAGCTATCAAACTTTTATATATGTGACAGACACCAGGTTCTCTCCCTCCCTCTCTCTTCCTCTCCATCCCTCTCTCTCCATCCATCCATACCTACCTCTCTTTCTCCATAGCAGAGTTAATGACATCTAAAGACTGTTTTCTTTAACAAGATTTAACTAGACCCTTGACTCTGATCACCTTTGAACTGAAGTGAAGGACTAGCTCTTTTTAAGTATTTCCTTTGCCCCACTCTAAGTCGACACAGCCCACTCAGGACTGGAGTACTCTAGTGATTTGCCATAGCACTGTCAGGCTTGACATCCGATTGGACCCAATGTTAAATCTTACCATCATATCAATTAGCGGACTGCAAACAATGGACGAGTGACCAATATGGAGAGAGAAACGGAGACAGAGTGAGGCAGTGAATGATAAGAAGACTTTATAGCACTATAGAGTGCTATAAAGAGACAGAGAGCGAAATAGAGAAATGCAGAGAGATGCCGGCCCCCTCCTCCTCCACCATGGAAGAGTTCAAAAGGTGCTCCTCTCTCCCAGCCTTGCGTGCCATTGGATAGGATACAAGGTGGATAGTGGGAAGCGCAGACGCGTTCATCTTCAATGTGGGCATGCTAAGTGGTGAGGAGGGGTGGAGAGAGGTGGAAGATTGGAGAGAGAGGGGGCGGAGAGGAAGGAGGGATTTGTTTGTGAATGGAGAAAGGGTTCTATAAGGAGGCCATTTACGGCATAAGGCATCAATGATAGCCCAGCCCCCCAATTGTTGCTATGTCGGGGTGTTAGAGGGGGTGCAGTGAGCTCACACGGGGTCGAGAACACAAGCATAAGAGAGGTTACCCCCACACACACACACACACACACACAAACACACACACACACACACACACACACACACACACACACACACACACACACACACATTCACACCTTTAAGAGAAGGGTCATGACCAGGCTTGATGAAGCCGTCATAAACTTTGACAGACACTCACAAACACACACACACAAATACACACTGTTAAGTTGTGAAGGGCAGGGTCATGACCGAGGTTGATGAAGACGTCAAAACTCTGACAGCTGTGATTCGGCTTGGAGGAGAGGAAGCAAGGGAGGGACAGAGAAGGAGAGTAGAGACTGCAGAGGGGGTTTAAATGTGAATGGGACAGCCAGACTCCGGAATGAAAAAGGATCTCTGCGTTTTGTTCGAGTTTTGTTTTGAGTTTTGTTTGAGGTTTGACGCCGCCTTTGTAGAGGGCCTGTTCAGTTGTGGTTACTCATCTGCTGCTGTTACTGTGTTTGGATGTGGGCGTTATCTACTGCAGTGTGTATATGTGTTTGTATGTGATATACAGTGCATTCGGAAAGTATTCAGACCCCTTGACTTTTTCCACATTTTGTTACAGCCCTATTCTAAAATTGATTAAATCGTTTTTTTCCCTCATCAATCTACACACAATACCCCATAATGCCCCCCAAAAACTGGTTTTTAGACATTTTTTGCAAATGTATTAAAAATAAAAAAAATGAAATATCACATTTACATAAGTATTCAGACCCTTTACTCAGTACTTTGTTGAAGCACCTTTGGCAGCGATTACAGCCTCGAGTCTGTGTGACGCTACAAGCTTGGCACACCTGTATTTGGTGAGTTTCACCCATTCCTCACTGCAGATCCTCTCAAGCTCTGTCAGGTTGGATGGGGAGCGTTGCTGCACAGCTATTTTCAGGTCTCTCCAGAGATGTTAGATTGGGTTCAAGTCCAGGCTCTGGCTGGGCCACTCAAGGACATTCAGAGACTTGTTCCGAAGCCACTCCTGCGTTGTCTTGGCTTAGGGTCATTGTGTGCTTAGGGTCGTTGTCCTGTTGGAAGGTGAACCTTCGCCCCAGTCTGAGGTCCTGAGTGCTCTGGAGCAGGTTTTCACCAGTGGCCAGTGGCTGTTGTGCCCTTGGCCCGGAGTGCTGCGTTGTGCCCTTCTCCCTGAGTGCTGCGTGTTCAGAAGCACCTCTCACTCACATGGCTCTCCCTCACATGATCAGGTTTTTCTCACAGGCTACAAGTGAAGACAGACACATCGGGGACGCAACTGCGCTCGTCCTTATCCAATTCCGAGGTGCATATTGAAGATATAGGAAGAACTGTCCACATGTACTTTTCGTCAGCCAACAAGATGAGTAGGCCTAATGAACAGCAAAAGCACTAGCCTATGTCAAAATTCTATCCCCCATAGTACAAAAGTTGACCTATTCTGTGTGAGAAATACATATTCCAAACATGGTCTTGGTCAGTTGTGGGATGCGATAGAGCTAAAATTAATACAACCACTAGCATCAAAAAACATTATTTACGCAATGTGGCTGACGCAACCGATCAGAACGTTTAGCTTAACATGTTGATAAACTTTTAGGCTATTTCTTCACATTATAAGCGCAGCAATGCACATACAGCAGTAGGCTTTAAGCGCAAATGTTCCATTAGCGGACAAAAACACCATTATCAAAAGTGACCGCAAATGCGATTTATGAATGTAATGCTTTTATTTTAAAGGTGCAATTCTATGGTGAAAAATGATCTTCCCCAAACTTGAAACTCACGTACTGCTTATGTACGCCAGTTAGGCTCTACACCCCTTGTAAGGCGGATTAATGTGCTTAATTTTAAGAAGTTATTTGGCCACTTTAGTTGTGATACAAACCTTCTCAAAACATATAGGCCTATGGGCTAGGCTACATGAGGTGTGCGACTATGATTTTAAAAAATCGCCAAAAAAAGGCAATGTTTCTTGCCTTACACTGGGCATCATTCACAAGTGATAATATATAATTCACAAGTGATAGGTTAATATTGTCACCCGTCAGACCATTCTTGATTTAATCTTGTCTTTACATATACTAAATAATATATGTGTGAAATTTGTTTTGATTTAGAATAAACCATTATCATGCACCTGTCTCGAAACAGGGGCAGGGGAAAAAATACATGTCATCTATGGACTTAAATAGCGAATGGAGGACGCTTTTCCCGTGGTTAATTTTCATGCCAGCCAGGTAGGCTATACTTCTGTTGTAAAGATAAGCAATGTGCTTAATATTAGGAAAGTTGAGAAATAAATATAGTAGGCCTAGCCTATAGAAAGCTGATGGGGATCCTCCTCTTTTTAGTAGAGGCCATCACTCTGTTTGTCTTGCATAGCCTATAGAAATGTTGCGCAACATGAGCTCATGGGCTCTCGTGAAGTGTTTGATTAGATTTTCGATTACATTTGCATTGAAGTCAGAGTGATCAGAGGGACAATAGAGTGCTGAGTACCAGGCAGTTAGCAAGTTTGGTAGGCTACTAATGACCATCAGCAGCATCAGAGCTTGGAGAAGCCTAATTACCGTGACTAAATGGTCACGTGGAATTTGACTGCCTTCATGACTCGTGACCGTCGGTGTGGCGGTAATACGGTCACCGCAACAGCCCTATGCACAACTAACTTCATTAGATTTGATCACTTTACACATTTATTTTGGGATCCACCCATTTATCCACTCCTGTAAACGTCATTTGCCTAATGACTTCTGAGTGGAGAAGGACTGTCTCATTTCATACAAGCACATTTTCGTCCAAGTCACTCTCCTCACCACCTCTCCTCGATTACCTTTGACCTTTTTCAAAAGTAGCCGAGGGGCGGACAGTGACGGAGGAGTTAGCTAGCATTATTGCGAAAATGCCATAACTTCAGCCACTTGCGAATTGAAGGCAAGTTGGCAAGTGCACTGTTTGGATGCTGAAATTATTTTGGACGAACATGCGAAGGTAACCTACGTTTTGAAGTGATTTGTTTGACAATTAGTTGAAAATATCATGACTGGTTGTGTTCATGCCACATTAAAATCTAATACATTTTTACAGTTAAATAACGTCTTTACTATAAAACCCATAAAAAAACACACATAGAAGGTCCCGTGAAAAAAACATGACTCCTTTTGGAAATGTGTGTGTGTGTGTGATCACAGTGCTTTGCTGTGGGTGTTGCTTCTCCTTCTGTCTCTGTAAAACAAAGGTATTGACAGTCTGAATATTCATATCCTGTCTGCCTCTCTCTCTGTGGGAGAATACTGAATACATGATCATCACCTGTCTACTGAAAGAGAAGAGAAGAGAGCAAGCGAGAGAGACGAGTGAGTCCGATAGAGAGAGAGAGAGAGATGAGATGGGTGAAGGGAGAACGAGTCATTTACATATTCAATTTTTTGCGCAAATGCAAATCCGGATAAAATGCAAATCCATCTCATTACATACAGTGTGTGTGTGTGCCTGCCTGTGTGTGTGTGTTTCTCTATGACCCTGTCCTGTTGTCCTCTCTCTCGCTCTCTTGTCTGTCTGTCTGAGTCAGAAGTGCCCCTGACCGTTCCAGTGTGTCAGCTGTCAGCTGTCTAGGTGATGGATAGAGGGAGGGACGGAGTGATGGATGGATGGAGTGATAAATGAGAGGCATGGATGGACATCAGAGGGAGTTATGGGTGCCCGATAGACCTGGGGAAAACGAGATGAGTTTTTCAGAGTTAACCATTGTAGAGTAGTGACCCCAAGGCTGTCCCAATCACTGCTCTGTGATCAAGGGGCTCTTCTGAATTGTAACGGAATGTAGCTACTTAAACTTTGCAACCTAGTCTGATTACGTAATCCCTCTTGTGTTCCGGTACTACCTCTTGTGGTTTGTGAACAAAACCAGATGAACTATGATTATCCTCAAAGGAGATGTGTGTCACCTCTGCAGTGTGTGGTGTAGTTAGACACAACAGGACATCTGTATGAGAGTCGAGTTAGATATTATAAATGGCTCCTCTGAGTGAGTGAGATGTCAGCCTGTCAGCCTGGCTTCCCCTTAGGGTAAACCAGGATTAGCTCCTACCTCACCACCGCACGCACACAGCCCTGTGTGTTTGTATGTGTAATGCATTTGTCTCTGTGAAGGTGTTGACACTTGTCGTCTTTGAGTTCATCTCTCCTCTTCCTCCATCAGTCACCCAGACCTGCTAGTTACATACTAGGCTAGGTGGATTTAGTTTCGCATTCACACAGTGTTTAGTGTGTGTAGGCTCATGCTGGGGGAGGGCGGGTGGAGGGGTGTGCGAAAATGACAGGGAGAATTTGATAGCAGGGCAAAAGCCCCCGGCAAAATTAGGGATCGAGAGCGAAAGAGACGAGCGCGATGAGAGAGAGAGGAGAGAGAGAGAGAGAGCGCGAGATGAGGAGACTGAGCGAGTACTGAAGGAGGAGTAGTAGCGAAGTTCTAGAGGACTTTTATCTACCTCGCTCTCTCGCTCTCTCTCTCTCTCTCTCTCTCCTCTCTCTCTGTCCCCTCCTCTCTCTCTCGTATCTCTCTCTCTCTCTCTCTCTCTCTCTCTTCTCTCTCTCTCTATCCCTTACAGAGTTTGTAGTAGGCTACACTCATTTACTCACTCTACCCAACTCAGCAGTTTCTGTAAAATGAAGAGCGAAGGGGAAGGAGAAACTATAGAAGTGGAGAGGGATCTCTCGCACACACACACACACACACACACACACACACACACACACACACAGAGAGAGTTTAGAAATAATAGAGAGTAATGTGAGTTGTCTACCTCCTACCTGCTGGGTTTGGCTAGCAGCTTCAGCTGCTCTCATCAGGAGATTGGAGACAAAAGCCAAGAATCTGACTGTTTACAGTGTGTGTGTTTGTGTGTGTGTCCTACTGTCCTTCCTCCTCTGTCACCTGCCCTCACACACACACACTCCTACTGTGTGTATTCCTGTCCTGCCCTGCAGGGGGCGGGACTCCTGTCTCTCTGAGTCTGATGGATGACCCAGGGGCTGTCCATCAAAGAGACACGCGATACCTGACCTCCCGTTGACATGAACACACACACATTGTCTCTCTCACACACATGCACAAACACACTGGCACACATACAACCATACTGGCACATATATTTTGGCACACTGTGAGCTATTGAGCTGTAGCAGGAGGACAAGACTCAATGCTGTGAGCTGGCTTTGTCTCCATCCCACCCAGCCTTTCTCCCTTTTCTCCACAATGAACAGAGGGAAGGTGAAAGAAAGAGAGAGAGAGAGATAGATAGAGAGAGAGAGCGAGAGAGAGAGAAGGAGAATAAGAAAGGGAGGGAGTGTGGCCATAAACACTCCTTAGTCTTTTCACGTCACTCTTTCTTTCTTTTTTCTGTCCTTCTCTCTTCTCATTCCGTCTCTGATATTCTCGATTTTTCATCATTCCTCTCTCTGAAGTGAAAAGGCTTGTGTGTGTCATGATGTGTGTTTGTGCTGAAAAGGGAGAGTGAGCGTTGACCTGGAATGACAGCTCATAAGGGTATTATGAAGGTGTCATTAACCCTACATAAGAGAGGGCTATAGTAGACTGCTGCTCTCTTTCTCGCTCGCTCTCTCTCTCTCTCCTTCTCTCCACTCCTCTTTCCCCTCTGTCGCACCCTCACAAAGACCACCACCCTCAACAGTTTATGACCTTGTGGTGTCACACACACACACACACACACACACACACACACACACACACACACACCAAGGCCTCTACTGACAATATTATAATACCCGGAACTTGGCATGTAGCCTATACACTCACTCATTGATAGCTGGGCTCAGTCAAATAAATACATGTACTTTTCTTTTCTTACTAGCACTGACTTTCAGAGAACTTCTTTATTGAGGAAAAATGTACTTACTACGACTGTGTTATGTTGCTGTCTCACCTAGCTATCTTAAGATGAATGCACTTACTGTAAGTCGTTCTGTAAAAGAGCGTCTGCTAGCTAAATGACTCAAATGTAAAATGTAGACATCAAGGCCTACAGCTGTAAAGTGTTTGACATACAGCCATAAAAGCAGTGTTAACGGATATGAATGGCTCCTATCTGTGTGTGTGTGTGCATGTTCTTATGCTATCAGTGTTTGAACTGGTATCGATTGAGCTATAAAAAAAACAATAACAATCTTCAAAGCATTCCTTTGTGTTTGAGAGAGAGAAGAGAGAGAGAGAGAGAGAGAGAGAGAGAACATGTAAGGAAGAGTGTGTGAGAGGCAGAAGAGAGAGAACATGTAAGGAAGAGTGTGTGAGAGGCAGAAGAGAGAGATGGTAAGGAATATAGAGAGAGAGCGTGAGAAAGAAAGTGTGTGAGCGAGGTAGAGCCTCCCAGAAGGAGAGTGATGGTTAGGACAGCGTTGATTACAGAGACGGGACATTCCTATGGGAAGACTTCCTCTACTGTTGAGTGTCATAAAACACTCTGTCATACACACACACACACACACACACACACACACACTGTCATCCCCCATTTTCACACACAAACTCTGTCACCCTCCCACCCCTCCCCTACACACACTCTGTCATTCCCACATTCTGAACCACTACCACTGCGATGACTTGGTCATCCCCGGAAATGAAATAGGAGGAGTTAATAACATAATTACTTCTAGAAGAGTTGTTAAGTATTTAATTAATGGGTTGGCAACTATGGGGGTTGGGCACTCTGAATATGTCAAACTAAGTATTGTCATGTCAATGCATTTGTCCTTTGTTGATTGTAAATGAATGAAAATTAATGGAATCCCACCTCTCTCTGTAGCATGTAAGGTTGGTTTCAACAGAGCTGTAACTACAGACGGAGCATGTTCTAAGTGTCCTCCACACAGTCACTCAGAGAAGGAGGGGGCTACTGTCTGTGAATGCAACCAGGGATACTACCGTTCTGAGAGTGACCCTGCATCTATGCCCTGCACACGTAAGAACACACACACACACACAATTTCCCCCAGGGGGTCGATCAATCGATCAGTCTACACATCTGTACTCTTTCTCCTCTCTATTCCTCTTCTCTCTTTTGTCCTTCCTCTTTCCTTTTTTTTGCCCTCTGTCTCTTTCATCTTAGTCCTCCCTCTGTACTGATCCAATGACTTATGACTAATCCACCATGTCCTGGATGGGAGATAAGGCATTGCGATCGAATGAATAATCCTCAGGCTCAGCCTCAGTTACATGTCACTTTCTGCCCCTCTCTCTCTCTCCTTCTCTCTCTCTCTCTCTCTCTCTCTCTCTCTCTCTCTCTCTCTCTCAGCAACTGTGATCTGACTGAGACCTTGGTCTGTTTGTCGTAAACTTAATTATGCCTATATACAGCACATGGTTCAGCCAGTCAGCCTGAGAAAACAGACAACACACACAAAACATAACGGAAAACTGTACCACAGAGGAAAGTATATGTAACCATAACCACAATATATTTTCTAACTCAACCTCCCTGTGCTATTTATCCCAGAACCCCCATCTGCTCCGCAGCAGCTGATCTCCGAGGTCAACGAGACATCAGTGGTTCTGGAGTGGAGCACCCCCCTCAGGCTCGGAGGGAGACGTGATATCAGCTACAGTGTGGACTGCCTGCTCTGCCACGGACCTGAGGGTCAAACCGGGAATCAAACTCCGATGGGGAGTCAACTTGGAGAAGCTGGTAGCCTTGGGGGTCTTAAGGAGCCTCTTGGGGCCCAGCTCTGCTTGCCCTGCAGTCAAGACGTCCTGTTCTCCCCCCAGCAGAGTGGCCTAAGGGCCACCAGAGTGTGTGTGAGCGAGCTGCAGGCACACACACGCTACACCTTCACCATCCGCGCCCGCAACGGGGTCTCCCAGGGCCACACTGCAGGGGCAGGACAGAGTGTGTCTGTCACTCTCACCACCAACCAGGCCGGTGAGTTTATGTGTGAAGGAGTATGTAAGTAAGGTGGGGAGTTTGTGTGTTTTCAGGGGCCAAGCACAGGCTGTCCATTGCATGGGGTGTGGGGGATTGAGGGGTGCTTGCGAGTGTGTGTGAGAATGTCTGTGAAGCGGGTAGCCTTTAATGTGGGAATGTGAATTGGATTAAGTTTGAATAAGTTTGTGTGCCTAGTGGTGTGTGTCTATACAGTGCCTTCAGAAAGTATTCAGTTACAGCCTGAATTCATAATTGATTAAATACCCCATAAAGGGAAAAGGTGTTTTTAGAAAAAAAATGTTTTATTGAAAATTAAATACAGAACGAACACATTTACATAAGTATTCACACCCCTTTGCTATGACACTCGAAATTGAGCTCAGGTGCATCCAATTTCGTTTGATCATCCTTTAGATGTCAGTACAACTTGATTGGAGTCCACATGTGTCCAATTAAATTGTTTGGACATGATTTAGAAAGAAACACCCCTTGTCTATAGAAGCGCATGTCAGAGCAGAAACTATACCATGAATTCCAAGGAACTGTCCGTACATCTCCGAGATTAAGCATATATTTGGGGAAGGGTATAAAACAATTTCTAGAGTGTTGAAAGTTTCCAAGAGCACAGTGGTCTCCATCATTGGGAAATTGGAAAATAATTGAACTACCCAGACTCTGCCTAGAGCTGGCCGTCCGACCAAACTGAGCAACCGGGCAAGAAGGACCTTGACCAAGAACCCAATGACCACTCTGACAGAACTACAGAGTTCCTTGGCTGAGATGGGAGAACCTGCCAGAAGAACAACCGTCTTTACAGCACTTCACCAATCTGGGCTTTATGGTAGAGTGGCCAGACGGAAGCCACTCCTGAGAAAAAGTCACATGACCGCACGCTTGGAGTTTGCAAAAAGGCACGTGAAAGACTCAGAGCATAAGGCCAAAGATTCTGTGGTCTGATGAGATGAGATAAAACACTTTGGCCTGAATACAAAGCGCAATGTCTGGATAAAACCAGGCACAGTACATCACCCGTCTAACACCATCCCTACCGTGAAGCATCATGCTATGTGGATGAATGGTAAGGATACAGGGAACAATGAATGGACGTTCCAACAGGACAGCCAAAGCAAGGCTAGAATGGCTTCAGAACAAGAATGTGAAAGTCCTTCAGTGGACCAGCCAAAGGCCAGACTTGAATCCCACTGAAAATCTGTGGAAAGACTTGAAGATTGCTGTTCAGCGCTGATCCCCATCTAACTTAACAGAGCTTGAGAAAATGGAAGAAAATCCCCAAATCCAGATGTGCAAAGCTAATATTTACATTTTAGTCATTTAGCAGACGCTCTTATCCAGAGCAACTTACTGGAGCAATTAGGGTTAAGTGCCTTGCTCAAGGGCACATCAACAGATTTTTCACCTAGTCAGCTCGGGGATTAGAACCAGCAACCTTTCAGTTACTGGCACAACGCTCTTAACCACTAAGCTACCTGCCGTCCATAATACAGACATACCCAAGACGACTTAAAGCTGTAATCGTTGCCAAAGGTGTTTCTACAAAGTATTGACTCAGACGTGTGAATACTTATGTAAATGAGATATTTCTGTATTTCATTTTCGATAAATTTGCATGTAATCCATTTTTAATTCAGGCTGTAACAAAATGTGGAATAAGTTAAGGGGTATGAATACATTCTGAAGGCACTGTACATGGGAGTTATGTGTGTGCGTGTCTGAGTGTGTTTGTGTCAAACTCTCAAGGAGTTACTTGTCTCAGTGACATAAACAGAATGCCACAGTGATGTCATCATCTTATTGGTTTATGTTGATGTTTAGATTGCGTGTGCGTGCGTGCGGGGAGAAAGTCTGCTCGTTTGATCACCTCTACATTTAGGATGTCTGTATAGTTTTACGAGGTGTTGCATTTTAGCTTCTTCGGGGAGTGTGAGTCAGATGGGGTGTGTGCTTATGTATGTTTTTTTTCGTGTGGTTTACTGTATGTGAACTGTAACACAGCCCACTCACTCTAGTATCTTTACAATGTCTTTGGCTGCGTTTACACACGAAGCCCAATTCTGATATATTTTCCACTAATTTATCTTTTGACCAATCACATCAGATCTTTTCACATCAGATCTTTTTCAGAGCTGATCTGATTGGTCAAAATATCAATGAGTGAAAAAAAAAAGAAGATCCGATTTGGCTGCCTGTCTAAACGCAGCCTCTGAGTCACAGATAGTGGCTGCTCTAACTACCTGGGAAGTGTGTTGTTTCCTTGTGTAGCGTAATGACACCTACTGGGTGCAAAATGAGAAGGCTGGGAACTATTACTCAAAGGCAAAACAGTGTTGTCATTCAATACTCATACACTCTGAAATAACTATTTTCTCTTTAGTGAGTCAGCATCATATACTGTATCCATACAAACACATAGACTAAACCCTCTTCTCCTGACATTCAGGATGTCAGAGGGATTATCACAATAATACAGGGACATAAAAGAAAGAGGAAGACTATATTAGAGGGATAGAAAGGAAGTGGGAAAGACAAGGATAAAGGGATAGAAAGGAAGTGGGAAAGACAAGGATAAAGGGATAGAAAGGAAGTGGGAAAGACAAGGATAAAGGGATAGAAAGGAAGTGGGAAAGACAAGGATAAAGGGATAGAAAGGAAGTGGGAAAGACAAGGATAAAGGGATAGAAAGGAAGTGGGAAAGACAATGATAAAGGGATAGAAAGGAAGTGGGAAAGACAAGGATAAAGGGATAGAAAGGAAGTGGGAAAAGACAAGGATAAAGGGATAGAAAGGAAGTGGGAAAGACAATGATAAAGGGATAGAAAGGAAGTGGGAAAGACAAGGATAAAGGGATAGAAAGGAAGTGGGAAAGACAAGGATTAAAGGGATAGAAAGGAAGTGGGAAAGACAAGGATAAAGGGATAGAAAGGAAGTGGGAAAGACAATGATAAAGGGATAGAAAGGAAGTGGGAAAGACAATGATAAAGGGATAGAAAGGAAGTGGGAAAGACAAGGATAAAGGGATAGAAAGGAAGTGGGAAAGACAATGATAAAGGGATAGAAAGGAAGTGGGAAAGACGATGATAAAGGGATACAAAGGAAGTGGGAAAGACAATGATAAAGGGATAGAAAGGAAGTGGGAAAGACAAGGATAAAGGGATAGAAAGGAAGTGGGAAAGACAAGGATAAAGGGATAGAAAGGAAGTGGGAAAGACAAGGATAAAGGGATAGAAAGGAAGTGGGAAAGACAATGATAAAGGGATAGAAAGGAAGTGGGAAAGACAAGGATAAAGGGATAGAAAGGAAGTGGGAAAGACAAGGATAAAGGGATAGAAAGGAAGTGGGAAAGACAATGATAAAGGGATAGAAAGGAAGTGGGAAAGACAAGGATAAAGGGATAGAAAGGAAGTGGGAAAGACAAGGATAAAGGGATAGAAAGGAAGTGGGAAAGACAATGATAAAGGGATAGAAAGGAAGTGGGAAAGACAATGATAAAGGGATAGAAAGGAAGTGGGAAAGACAATGATAAAGGGATAGAAAGACAGGATGAAAAGAGGTGAGACAGGTCGTGGCCTGTTCCCCAGAGAAAAGGTAAAAGTGTCACCCAGGACTCAGCTGTGGTGAATTGGGTCATTGTGATTGCCATCAAACGTTCAGGGAAATTGTTTTTTTATAACTCAAAATGTGTTATGCGGATGTTATGCCATTGCGTCTTATGCATTATTTTCTGGTGAACTATTCAAGAGATTCAATACACAAACATAGAAGCCATGATATATCTTGTTCTGTCGTAGTTCTTCAACTTGTGTACCTCTCTCACTCACTCAGCTCCCTCCCCAGTTACATCCATCCAGGCCGGTGATGTCACCAGGCATGGTGTGTCATTGGCATGGCAACAGCCCGACCGTCCCAATGGGGTCATCCTGGAGTATGAGGTCAAGTACTACGAGAAGGTGAGATGCCTCATGGGAACCGCGGTTCAGAAATCAGATATTCTACACTCTTAGAAAAAAGGGTTCCAAAAGAGTTATTCGGCTGTCCCCATAGGAGAACCAGTTTGGGTTCCAGGTAGAACCCTATGTGGAAAGGGTTCTACATGGAACCCAAAAGGGTTCAACCTGGAACCAAAAAGGGTTCTTCAAAGGGTTCTCCTATGGGGACAGCCAAAGAACCCTTTTAGGTTCTAGATAGCACTTTTTTTTTCCTGTTATGTTATGTGTATCTATACATGTTTGTGAGTGTTCACATGCTATCTGCTTAAACTGGTATCAATAGACCTATGAAACAACCAATAAACAATCTTCAAAGCATTCCTTGTGTTTGACACGGAAAAAGAGAGAGGGAGAAATGGAGATAACATGATTAAAAAAAATTAGTGGGAGTTGGGAGAGAAACAGAGAGAAAGATAGACGGGAGTGATCTGTAATTGTGTGGCTACAGTTTGTGTCCTTGCTTGTCTTGTTTTGTGATTATAGACCTAGAGTCCACAGGGAGAGGTATTTCACTCCAGATCCACACAGATAACATTGTTCTACAACTTCAAGTTACATTTTAGGATCATGACCTCATCCGTTACCCCTTTTCTTTACACTTGCCAATTAAAATGAGGTGTATTTAAGTTATGCTGTATTTTGGAAAGGTTCATATATTTGACCACAGATTTCTGCTCAGGCATTGACACATTCCTCCCGTTTCTCTCTTCCTGTCTCTCATCCAATCAGGATCAGAAGGAGAGCTCCTACCGCATCATGAAGACGGCGTCTCGCAGTGCTGACATCACTGGGCTGAGCCCGCTTACTGTGTACTTGTTTCAGGTGCGCGCTCGCACAGCCGCCGGATACGGAGAGTTCAGCGCCCCCTTTGAGTTCTCCACCAACTCAGGTAGAACACATGTATTCTATTCTATTCTGTTCGGCTGTTTTTGAGCAAGGGATATAGCATTTTTTGTAACCTGTTTTTGAATGAAAACATCCTTGTTTGTAACCTGTTGTCTCCTCCCCCTGACAGATCCCTTGCCTCTGATTGGTGATGCCGCTAACTCCACCCTGCTCCTGCTGTCAATCAGCGGAGGTGTGATTCTACTGCTCATCTCCACCGCAGTCTTCATCATCAGCCGCAGGTACAAACACGCACAGCCTCAGAAACACACACACATCTGTGTGTGTGTATCACCTGGGGCTTTGGAGGGGGATTAGAGAGGAGACAGTGTGTCCTTCTAAAGGACTGATTGCTCACCTGGTAATCCCCTTGTCCCTGATTTATCATTAGTGTCTCCATAACAACACAGCCACTGTATCGGCTTCCCCCTGGCCTCCAAACACTCACACACAACCTCTCCCTTGAGGCCTCTTTTTAATATTAATAATTAATATGCCATTTAGCAGACGCTTTTATCCAAAGCAACTTACAGTCATGCGTGCATAATTTTTTTTTGTGTATGGGTGGTCCCGGGGATCGAATCCACTACCTTGGCGTTACAAGCGCAGTGCTCTACCAGCTGAGCTACAGAGGACCACACTGCTTAAAGACACAATGGGTGTTACAGACAGGTTCTGTAAGAACACACCTTTCTTCCTATATTACCCGAGGCACTATTCTCTCTCCTTCCCACCCTCCATCCCCCCTTCTCCTTCTTCCCTTCTACTCGTCTTAAATAGCCAATCTCTGCTTGGATTGGTCAAAGTAGCTGTCAATCACTCACATTGTGTGTTCTGTGCCACTCACTACTTCTTCCTCTACCTCTCTTCTTTCAGGAGGGGCAAATACAGCCAAGCCAAGCAAGACTCAGAGGAGGAGAAACACCTAAACCCAGGTAAGACCACACATGCACACACACACACACTCACACTCCATTCTATTCTGTGTCTCCATCCCTTCAAACTCATTTTCTCAACCCATCATCTTCCCTTTCTCCATCTGTAGATGTGAGGATATACGTGGACCCGTTCACCTATGAGGACCCGGACCAGGCGGTTCATGAGTTTGCCAAAGAGATTGACGCCTCCAACATACACATAGAGAAGGTCATTGGCATCGGTAAGGGAGCCTGACACACATTCACACACACACACACACACACAACACACACAAACTCACAGTAAATCATCGAGGTTTGAAGGTGTGTGTGATACTAATGCTGTGTGTTGTAGGGGAGTTTGGGGAGGTGTGTAGCGGCCGTCTGCGTCTCCAGGGAAAGAGGGAGATCTACGTGGCCATAAAGAGTCTGAAGGCAGCATACTCCAACAAACAGAGGCAGGACTTCCTCTCTGAGGCCAGCATCATGGGACAGTTCGACAACCCGAACATCATCCGACTGGAGGGTGTGGTCACACGCTGTGAGTGATTGACAGCTACTTTGACCAATCCAAGCAGAGATTGACAGGTTCTGTCTGCATTTATATAGATACAAAAAAGCAGAGGACCCGAAACTGATCCTTGTGGAACACCCCCCTGTCTTAATCACTGCTTGTTTGACTCCTGTGCAGGTAAACCAGTGATGATCATCACAGAGTACATGGAGAATGGATCTCTCGACGCCTTCCTCAGGGTAAGAGAGAGAAAAGGTCTGTCTGTGTCTGTCTGTCAGTCTTTGTACTGCGTGTTATGTTCTAAAGCAGGGGTGTTTTTGGTTTTTCCTTTCAATTAAGACCTAGAAAACCAGATGAGGGGAGTTCCTTACTAATCAGTGACCTTAATTCATCAATCAAGTACAAGGGAGGATGAAAACCCGTAGACACTCAGCCCTCCGTGGAATGAGTTTGACACGTGTTCTAAAGTCTCTCTCTCTCTCTCTCCATTAGAAACATGACGGTCAGTTCACAGTGATCCAGTTGGTGGGCATGCTGCGTGGCATCGCGTCGGGCATGAAGTACCTGTCTGACATGAGCTACGTTCACCGAGACCTGGCTGCCCGCAACATCCTGGTCAACAGCAACCTGGTGTGTAAGGTGTCTGACTTCGGCCTGTCACGAGTACTCCAAGAGGACCCTGAGAATGCCTACACTACACGGGTAAGAACACAGAAACACAGGGAAGAACATAGAACACAAACATGCCTATTACTCTGGGGTAATGATTTAGTATGTAAAATATGTTCATGTTTTAATGATTGTAAGATCACTCACCTTTGAAATGTGGGTCCTTATTAGCACTATAATGCTAGACTGTGGATCCAAATAAAGCATTCCTCAGTTTCTTCCCATGTGTTACAGGAGGTGACTGGGACATACCACTCTCCAGGGGGGAAGATCCCCATCAGATGGACCTCTCCAGAGGCCATCGCCTACAGGAAGTTCACCCCATCCTCTGACACCTGGAGCTACGGCGTGGTCATGTGGGAGGTGATGTCCTATGGAGAGAGACCATATTGGGACATGAGTAACCAGGATGTAAGTGTGTTTTCTATGCAATAACTCAACTGGATTTTCCCCTGAAAGTGCAATATTTTTCATGTGGACTGAAGCAAAGTTAGACAGTTATAGTGCATTCGGAAAGTATTCAGACCCCTTGACTTTTTCCACATTTTGTTACGTTACAGCCTTATTCTAAAATTGATTAAATATTTTTTTCCCTCATCAGTCTTCACACAATACCCCATAATGACAAAGCGAAAACAGGTTTTTAGAAATGTTTTCAAATGTATTCACTGTAGACTAAGTTAGTTAAACATGCTTTCTTACCCTCTTTCTCTATACCCTCTTCTCTCTCCCTCCCCCTCTCTCCAGGTGATAAAAGCAATAGATGAGGGCTACCGTCTGCCCCCTCCAATGGACTGTCCTGTGTGTTTACACCAGCTGATGTTAGACTGCTGGCAGAGAGAGAGAACACACAGACCCAGCTTCACACAGATCCTCAACATGCTGGATAAACTCATCCGCAACCCGACCACCACTCTGAGGACAGGAGGAGACCGGTACACACACACACAGGACACAATGTCTTTCATTGCAAGCTCTTTCAATGTGCTTTCAGCATAACATTCACTCACCATAACTATCTCATCCTCTTTCTTTATCTCTCTGTGCAGACCTGTTCCCAGTCTGTTGGAGCCTGTAGTAGGTCCAGAGTTTGTGTCAGTGTGGTCAGTAGAAGACTGTCTCCAGGCTATAGGGATGGGCATGTACAGAGACACCCTCACTGCTGCTGGATACACCAGCCCTGACAGCCTGCTAACCCTCACACACCAGTGAGTCTCTCTCTCTGTCTGTCTCTCGCTATCTCTTTCTCTCTGTCTATCTCTCTGTCTCTATCCCCCCCCCCCCCCTCTATATATCACTATCGCTCTCTCTGTTTCTCTCCCTCTATCCCCCTCTCTCTGTCTGTCTGTCTGTCTGTCTGTCTATCTGTCTGTCTCTTTCTTTCTTTCTGTGTGGGTGTGTGCATGGTCTTCTTCATGTCTAATTGAATTATTCCATGTTTCCAGGGACATGGCCAGTATAGGAATCGTCACACGATCCCACCAGGACCAGATCCTTGCCAGTGTGCAGCAGGTATTGCTGTCCCACATGCAACAAATACAGGAACAGATGCCAGACAGTATGGTTCCTGTCTGAGCCAGTGAATGGATACAAAACTGAAACAATTTGTTTTTTATGATTTCCATTTACCTTATCCATGCACTTTAGAATGAGATTTTCACAAGGAATAACATCAACATACAAAAAACTACAACAGAAAATATGAACGGAGGAGAGAAAAGCAGCACTTTTATAAACCCTATAACCTTTGACCTTTGAACTATGATCTGAGGTTTGACCTGAGGCTGAAGAAGCTGCTGAAGATGTTTCCTCAGTGTTGCAGTGGAACCAACGGAACATTTTGCCCCTTTTTTGTTTACTTTTTGTACATACGTGTCTGTGTAAATAACGTTTCATCTGCTCTTGATTTTTTTGTAAAATTTTTTGTTATTGATTTTGTGTCATGCGCGAAACGTGTCTGTAGCTCGTTCAGAGTGGTGCCATTGTTTTCTGTTTAGACACTGTTTTCTCTCCAGTACACATTTCAAAACGGAATAGAAACCTCCAGTTTGCCTCATATGCATCTCAGGACTACACTACCCATTTATCTTTATACCAGAAGGACTCCAACTCCCATTCCCACTAAGAAGTAATCCATCCATTGAGCTTTGTAGACAAGGACTAATGAGTGCTACATCTATTCATCAACAAGGACTTGTAAGTTAATAGTGAAGCATAGTTCAACGAAAAAAAACAGGACAAATTGAATGTCCACCAAGTGTGGCCTAAGGCATTTGATATGACTATGATAGTCACTATTTTGTAATTTTTGTTGTATAAATGTGCTGTTTATCACATCGGAACAGTGACAGAAAGCCTTCAAATCTGCAGCTGGAACAGAAGGGATGTTTTCACAGCTTTGGGCCTCTGGGCTCGATCTGAAAGATTTGAAGGACGTCTGGAAGTCGACAACTTAATGGACGAGCTGAGAAAGTGTAGTTCTGAAGCATCACACAGTTGTGTGTGTGTCAGGGTTGGGGTCAATTCCATTAAAATTTGTCAATTCAGAAAGTACAATGAAATTCCAACTCCAATTCTCTTACGATGCTTTTCAATGAGGAAAATGTGGAATTGGAATTTGGTTTACTTTCTGAATAGACTGGAATTTAATGGAATTGACCTCAACCCTGGTGTGCGTGCTTGTCTTTGAGGACCGGTTTTAGATATGCAAAGCCAGAAATATGGGGAGGATAGAATGTATGTGTGCCAAGCTCTTAATGGCTTTTTATTTAGGATGAACACATTAACAATGGTATTAGCTAGTTTTTTCTAGTCAACGATTAGCATATACTGTAGGTATTACATGTCTTTGTAATGTTATTGTTTGAAAAAAAATCAGGTACACAAAACATTTCATTCTATTTATGGTCTTCTTATTATCTAGGTTGTACATTGTAAAATAGGAATATTGAAAATGACTGACTGCCATATTGCATTGTAATAAATGTCCAAACTGAGATGGGCAAGTTCTGTCTGAACATATTTTTGCTGCTGACGCGGGAGAGTGTGCGACTGGGAAGTGTGTGTATGACGTGTGTGTGTGTGTGTAACGAAGGGAAGTGTGTGCACTGGTGTGGTCTGACCGGCGGCAAAGCCAGGTGGATTAAAGTGAAGGGTGCTGGAGGCGTTCTGTTAAAACGTTCTGTGGTGTGGAGAGAGCCATCTGCTAAACACACACGGAGACACACATACACACTTTGTCTCACACACATTCACACTGAGACACACATACACACTTTGTCACACACACATTCACACAGCAGGAGAGAACTTCGGGCACACACATGAACAGCATAGGTGAAGGACGGGACTAAGATGGAGTATATCATCTATAGTAGCACAACACAGTGTGTACTCAGGGATATGTCACTTTAGCAAATGCTTGCACAAAACCAAACCTCAATTTCACATTCAAATCAGGGATATTTGATTTTGGATTAAATACAAATCTTGCCAGCTGCAGGCAACAGGCAAATCACCGTGGACATTCTACACAAGGGTTTTGCCTATGATCTGAGATAGGCACACACACCAACACAAAGCTGCCCTGTGGGATAGGGGTGTGGGGCAGATATGCTGGGACAGTCTTTTTGAAGAGTTGATCCTGTTAACGGCGTTAGACACACTCCTCTCTCCCACAGACTAACCCTCTCACACAAAACACACTGTCATATAGATACATGTGCACCCACTCGCCCATTCTAATAGAGTTTGAGGGAGACTGGAGCACGAAGCTAGACACCAGTTCTTAATCTGTCCGTCTGTCTCTGCAGGCTGCCACTGAAGATACCATGTTAAGAGAATGGAATCCCTGTTAGAATTAATGCTTAAGTTCAATCATTCTCCCCTCTGTCTCCCTCTCTCTCTCCCTCTCTCTGTAGGGTGTCATTGTGGTCTTTTGGTCACTAGATTAGTGTGGTAATAGAACTAGCTAATCTCGGCTGGTCTTATACAGGGGAGTGGCAGTGGGGTGTCTTTAATACCCAGCCAACCGTACCCTAATGTGTGTGTGACTGGGTGGAGAGAGACAGGGTTTAGACATACAAACACACACACAGTGGCATGCATGCACGCACACACACACACACAGCCAGGGTTTACATTTCTTTCAGGATTTCCATTTAAATGCATCACCTCATTGACCAACGCAATGCCAGAGGCATTCCCACGGTAACCCTAGTGTGCGTGTTTTGTGTGTGTACGTGCATGCAAGTTTGTGTTCCCGGTACTGGTAGAGAGGTGACAGGCAGTCCCCCCAGCGTAAATTAGCTTACACTGAGTATACAAAACATTAAGAACACCTGCTTTTCCATGACATAGACTGACCAGGTGAATCCAGGTGAAAGCTATGATCCCTTATTGATGTCACTTGTTAAATCCACTTCAATCAGTGTAGATGAAGGGGAGGAGACAGGTTAAATAATGCTTTTTAAGCCTTGAGACAATTGAGACATGGATTGTGTATGTGTACCATTCAGAGGGTGAATGGGCAAGACAAAATATTTAAGTGCCTTTGAACGGGTATGGTGGTAGGTGCGAGGCGCACCGGTTTGTGTCAAGAATTGCAATGCTGCTAGGTTTTTCACGCTCAACAGTTTCCCGTGTTTATCAAGAATGGTCCACCACCAGCCAATGTGACACAACTGTGGGAAGCACCCATGCCCTGACGAATTGAGGCTGTTCTGAAGGCAAAAAAGGGGGGGTGCAACTCAATATTAGGAAGGTGTTCTTAATATTTTGTACACTCGGTGTATACAGCAATACCTAGTCCCTCTTTTTTTTCTCCCTCTCTCTCCTGGTGTAGCCACCTGTCCAATTTGGCAACCTGTGCTCCCCTTATTACTGAAGCCACTGACTCGAGTCATGTGATCCATCTCCCCCGCTGCCAGTAGACAGGTAACATCTGACAGACATTAAAAGCTGACTAATGAGTCTGAGACAGACATTAGCAGCCAATTAATGAGTCTGATGTGGCATCTTACTACAGCACCTTTCACCCTAAAAACAGTTCAGGCAGTTGTGTAATAGCTCTACGACTTCTTACTTTTCTGCCGAATAGTTATCTGGAATACTTCAAATAGCGACAGCCATTTAATGGAGTCTTGTCAATGAGAGTAAGTGGCCATAATGAAAACCAACACACAGAGTCTCAGAGTAGAAATGCTGATATAATGCTGATCATAATTAATACATTGACAGGGGGGACCTGATCCTAGATGTACCCAGAGTTGAGGAGTCCTGGTCTAGAGGTCATAGAGGGGTCACTGAGGGGGTAGTTCTCGGGGTCGGGGGATGGAGGGGGTGGTCAGCAGACCTCCCATGTCTTTGTCATTGTCTATTCACGATCTCCTTGGGGAATACCAGTGTGATTAACACTAATCCTGCTGTTCTCTACAAAACCTCCTCAACCTCGTCCCCCATTACAACTTTACACTAGGACCACCAATTGCCAGTCATATTTACAGACTACAAGCCCCAGTCCCCAACCCAAAAATATTATCTTTAAGATGCACGCACCCATGCACGCATACAGAGAGAAAGAGAGAGAGGGAGAGAGCGAGAGAGCGAGAGAGAGTTGAGAGATACAGCAGCACCTCATGAAGATGGCGCCGACAGAGAAGGGCGACATCTTACAAGTTAAACCCCAACTTTGCAATATAGTGACTTTTATCGTGTTTATCCTTGTTTTGTACAGAAAGTTCATACTATTATCACACATGACCACTAAGCACTTCTGGACATCAGATACCAGTTTCATTTAAGGACCAAAAGATTGAAAGCCGTCCCATATAGATTGCAAAAAAGTTGGGAAGAGATTTTTGACGTACCGATTCCATGCCATAGTGTTTATGAACTGATATGCAAAACGACAACGGATTCAAAACGTAGAATTTTTCAATTTAAATTATTATACAAAATTATTGCTACCAATAGAATGTTATTTATATGGGGGATACAATCTTCCCAGCTCTGCAGATTTTGCTGCGAAGAGACAGAATCATTAGATCATTTCTTTTGGTACTGTCCATTTGTAGCTTGTTTTTGGTCACAGGTCCGGGAATGGCTGAAGGATTGCAATATTTACCTGGAGCTAACCCTGCAGATAGCACTACTGGGGTGATCTGAAAAGTAATAGTCAATCGATCAATAATATAATAATACTTTTAGCAAAAATGTTTATTTTCAATTTACAATCTGTAGAAACAATGAGAATAGAAGAGTTCAGAACTTTTGTGAAACATCACAGTACAGTTGAAAAATATATGGCAAATAGAAATCCAATATGGATGGTATTAAGAGATAGATGGGAGGTGTTGAATGGAGCTGAAGGATGGGACTAATAACAACTAACAACAACTAATAACAACAAGAGAACTAATGTAAAGCATACTGTGTCCATAATAAGTATATAGGTTATGGGTTGAGAGCTTTTGTGAAAGAGCACTGTTAGAAAGATATGGCATATAGAAGCAAACTGGATGGACATCATGAAAATTATAAGAAAGGTTGAGGGTTTAGGAAGTTCAGGAGTAAAAACAAACAAAATAGAATTATTGTAAAATGTACTGTGTCCATAAAATGTATATAGTATGTATAAGCTGGAAGTAGAGGCCTACGCGTTGTTGTTCACTAGTTTACTCCAATTAGGGAAGGGGTGGTGGGGTTGGAAAGTAATAAAGGGAAATATATTTTTTTAAAGAATATGTATATATATGTAT